ACAATTATTCTAACAACAAATATATATACTATCCTATAGTATCTAAAAAAACTGCCCAAATCAGAGACTATAATCATTCCATAAACCAAGAATAGTTCACCTATTCCTTTATAGTATCTGAAAAACATACCAAACAAGAAATTTATTATTCAAATAGATATTGTTTTAAAAAAAAAGAAAAGAATAGCATTGACCAGTGAACCTTGAAAATGAGGTCAAGGTCAGATTAATACTTCAAGACAGACATGTACACCTAACAACAATTCCATGTATTAAATGTAATTCACTGAATACTTTCAGAATACGAGCAGTTAATATAGGTCCCTGATACGAGAAATAAACCAAAACAATAAAAAATAATTTTGATCACTGAACCGTGAAAATAAGGTCAATGGCAGATGCCACTTGTCAGTTTAATTTTGAGATTTACACCTTACAATAATTCCATGTACCAACTATAGGAGACGTATTGCTTAATGCTTATGGTAGCAATACACAGTTAGCGATATTTGGGAGAAATTTTCCCTAATAAATGTTAGCCATCCTCTTTTCCATGTTTTTAATAGTTTAAAGCTTAATGTTTGGGTCATATTTGTGCACATTTTCTATAATAAGAATCTTCTTCAATGCTGAAAATGATTAAATTTCATAGATTGTTGGTGTATCCTTGGCAACAATCCTCATTTATTTGCCATACATAGTGCTAAAATGGGGTGAATGTGTCAATGTTTCGCAAAATTTGATCCCAACTAGAATTCCAATGCCGTTGATTGATACATTTTCTGACCTTTTTTTACACACATCTATCAAAAGATAAAAGAAAAATCAAATGTCTTTCGCCTCGATTTTTCGTAAAATTGTGTTGAAATGTTCCTGTTAAAAGCGGTTTAAACTAATTAATTAATTTATGGACCAACGACCGGAATGGATCTTTCTTATCTCTTGTATTAATCTAGAACCAGAGAGAGAAAACCTTTTAAAAGTGATACGTGAGCAATGTCTTAGAAAGGTTGAACTATTTAACATTAGTTTAGATATAAACACAACCATGTGATAATTAACCCATACTACATTATGAAATTATATGCTTGCAATCAAACTAGTGATTTACTTAACTTTATTAGCTTGCATGTTGAACCTGCTTATAGAACACTTATATATCACCTGCATATGCAAAGGTACAAGCTCCTAAATACTGGACAGAAAAACTTAAGAAAGTCAAATTTAGCTAAATGGCAGTTGTGTGTGGACTGTAAATTATGGGCGTATGACATTTGCGCCGATTTTATAAATTTTCAATCTTTCATTTGCGCCGATTTGGTTTTTTCATTTGCGCCGATTATATTTTTTCATTACCACCGATTTTATAATTGCTAATTAATTTAAACACAGGTGAGCCGAAATACATGTACATGTAAGTCAGGAACCTGTTGTTCAGTGGTTGTCTTTTGTTGGTATGTTTCATATATGTTTCTCGTTTCTCGTTTTGTAAATAGATTAGACCGTTGGTTTTTCTGTTTGAATTGTGTTACACTGGTTATTTTGGGTCCCTTTATAGTTTAATTACTGTTCGGTGTGAGCTTTTGCTCCGTGTTGAAGGCCGTACTTTGACCTATAACTGTTTAACTTTTTATACATTGTTACTTGGATGGAGAGTTGTCTCATTGGCACTCATACCGCATCTTCTTATTTAAATGTACTATATACCTTACAATGAACAATTCTATTCACACCATCCGAACATATATCTCTTTATGATGGTCATAAAAAAATCCAGGCCACAACTTATGTCAAAATGAGAGCAATTGAAATGCCCTCCGCTGTACGGAAGCCAGAGAATGAGAAAATGGACTTCGTTGTTGGGCAATACAGCAATATAGAAGAGGTGAAATTGCCAGGGCTGAGTATATCAGATGTCTAGCATATACATAGGCGGCAAGACATAGATTCACGATTGACTGAACAGTGAACATCGCCCCGTGAACGCATTGCAACTCAAGATCAACAATGGAATTTCCAGCTGATTTATCCAAGTTGCTTAATGGCATAGAGCTAGAGAGGAAGACATTGACATGGGATTTGAAAGTCAATGCCAACACAGTCACAGTCAAACTGACATGGAATCACATTGAGGAACCCGCTGCAAAGAAAGGGACACAACCCAACACGGCCCTGAAAAAGAAGAGACTTTCACCCTCCACCAGGAAAAGAAATGCTCAGCGCCTTGCCCAGTGGAAGGAGAAACGTAACTCAACTGCTGTAAGCTCCTCTAAAGCCAGTACTGCAACAACAACCATAGCAATGGTAGACTCCGCTATACAAGCAACAGCACCAGAAGCACCAGTTATCACCATAAGAAAGTTCGACCAACCAGGACACAATTTACGCAATGTGAAGAAGATATTCAAGGTGTTTATGACATTACACCAACGAAGTACAAGAAGAACCTCAGTAAAGAAAGCGTGAACCTAATAGACAGTCCGTATATACCAGACAAGAAATGTATTCAAATACGGTACAGTGATGATACAACTCAATGCTCAGTTCCCTTTGACGTAGATGACCCAATCTTCACACGTAGATTTCCTCCAGACAACGACCACACACTAATTGGAAAGCGTCCGCCTACTCCAAATGTAGAACAAGAACATCGACAGCAACCCAGGACAAAAATGAAAGCTAGACGACAGATAGCTGAAGAATATGATATAAAGAAATAAAAAGAAACTATGTACATAGTGCGCAAAACCTAACCAGGTAGACGCACAATAAACCCACTAAAACCAACCATAGGCGGCAAGAACAGATTTGTAATTGTATTGGTTACCCCGTTTTTACAGATTTTATTCTGTGATTCTAAGTATTATTATTCAACAAGACAATTAAACATATATGAAAATTGAAAATGAAAAAGTCTTAAATGGAATTTTGGCAGGTACGTTTAGTGTGACATTTACTTCCACACGGAACCATTGCTTTCCTGCATTTTTTTTTCTTTTTTTGCGGCTGCATGATACAAATTGAAAGCTTTTCTCCTTTATATATTGCCTGAATCTGGGCGTTTCTGTTGAATTTCCTTTGTTATTGTTGAATAAAAATGACTTTATCCTGCTGACTTTTCATCTGCGAGCAGAACAGTTGATTTTTTTCTAACATTTTAGCTAAGAATTTGGTGAAATTTTCTTCCCAAGTCACCATAGTGTACGACAAATTGATAATGACCATGTATAATTGTGGTCAATATAATTTGTTTGTGAGTAAAATTCACTTGGTCATTCGTCGTCACTTTATTTAATTAATTAATCGTTAATAATTACGACCATTTTACTCAAAAACTAAAAGAAATCATTATCAAAATCTCATATTTTTTTTAGATCGAAGGGTCATACCTAAAAAAATAATATTATTATAGATTTCTATATTCATCGTTTTGGTAAACCGGACCATACGCATATGGTCCGGAACATACACACAAGGGAATCTGATGGCAAAATCATTTTTAGAACATGTTTTATCATTTTTTAAACCAGTGTTTAGTGCTTTGATTTTAAAGAAGATGTTTTTTAAATATATTGCAAATAGGTTTTAAATATATTTTAAAGAAGGGGGGAAGGGCAAGGGGTATAACTGTTATGCTGTTCTGAGCCAATTTAATTCTGTGTTATGTTATTCTGAAAATATATTTTCTGTGTCACATACTATGTTTATGGTGTAATGACAATAAAGATTTGAATTTGAATTTGTTATCTGTAATTGACAATTCTATGTAGCTGTTATAGAACTATCATTTTTTTTGTTATCTGTTATTGTGAGAATGTATTTGCTGTTAACTGTTACTGTACCCCCCCCCCCCTCTTTAACTTGAATATGTCTTTATTATTTTATGAGGAATTAATGCAAAAAAAATCATTCAGTTATTTAATCTACTTAGTCTATGTTTCATATATTTTACAATTTACCTGTGTTTACCTGTAAAATTGGCGCAAACTTTGAAGTATGGTTTGATTTTATTTTGGCCCAAATAAAGTATGGTTTGTAGCGCAAATGAATTACCAATTGGCGCAAAAGCAAGACACCAGGACAAACAGGGTGATTTGCCTTAGATCCCACCAATAAAAACCAGAAGTTGCACACCGTGTTGTGTTAAGTATATCACCCTGACATCCGACTTATTTAGTAGAATGGCTGACATGGTATAATTATCGTGTTGTATATATAAGATATTAAAATCATGTTTAAGATGCAGAAGTTTTGAATTAATTTCTTAAGGTTAATTATCAGACTTGAGTGGGGGTAAAATAACTGCATGTATAGAGTTTGGGTATAATTGTATGCTCACTTTTGCATATTCAGATTTCAAAATATCAGCAAATAGGAAGCTGGTATCTGAAAATAATCTGAAAAGTACTCACACATTACAACTCATCACTGTCAAGCTGGTGACCAAGTATGAAGTCTTTCCACTCATTCATATTAAAGAAGTGTTTGAGAAAACAAATTTTGAAGTTCATTTTTCATATTGAAAATTTTCAAATTATCGGCAAACAGGAAGTTGGTATTTGAAAAATCTGAAAAGTGCTCAAACATAACAACTCATCACTGTAAGGTGGTGGCCAAGTATGAAGTCATTTAGCTCATTTATATTAAAGAAGTGTTTGACGAAAAATTTTAAAGTTCATTTAGCATATTGAAAATTCTTCAAAGTATCACCAAACAGGAAGTTGGTATTTGGAAAATCTTAAAAGTGCTCAAACATAACAACTGAAACAAACAAAAACTGTATTGGATATAAATATAGAGTATCAATTGGGAAAAAGGTTACTTTGCACAGTAGATCAACTGGGATAAACCCTTAAATGACCCCATCATGACTTTGATTGAGAAGGGAATAGAGTCCATCCATGATATTCATTTAACAAATCTGTTGTGTGTTTTGTGACTATGTGTGTTTCAATGCATGTATAGAAGTTTGGCCAAGTCACAAAATATATAGAAAGACATCAGATTTTTTTTCTCTTTTAATCACTTTACCATCTCTAAATCCGATCATAAAAACTTGCATACATTCCACAATATAAAAAATCATGCATACTTTGCAGCATATAAATGTTAAAAAAAGTGTTTAAATGTAAATAATAAAATGCGTTGTAAAGCTTGATGTAACCAAAAGTCTACAGACAACATTAACAACATCATGGCCATAATAAGAATGCAAATTTTTACCAGTCAGTCCTATAAAAAATCACAGAACAATGCTTGCATGCATACCTTGCATTATATAAATATAACAAAATATCACAAAAACAAATATTGTTAGCTGAAAACAATCAATTAACAAAGTTAACAGTTTATATATAAAATGTATCAAGAGTGGACACAGCGATATGTCTTGCCTGTATAAGTGTTCATACATGTATTTCAATACTTTTAAGTATTACATTATCATTTCAATTACATGTACCTGTGTAGAAGTGGTCAAGGTGAGATTAAATCTTTTAGGCAGACATGTAGGCTTTGCAATCATTCCAAATTTAGTTAACCTAAAACTTTAAGTATCATTGAACAAAAAAACCTTAATTTTTCCCAATAAAGCATAAAATATGATCAAGGCAAGATGAAACCTGTAAGACAGACAACTTACAAATATTCAATAGATATAATTGATTTATCACTTAAAGTATCTGTGAAACTGGTTTAACTGACCCTGAATCCCTCACCTGTAATGTTTTGCTGAAATCTTTCATCACTGATTAATTTGGTTTTTTAATGTATACTGTGTCCTTAAATAGGCTATTTTAACTATCATGTTTTTTTCAAAAGACAAAAAAAAATCATTTAAACCTTATGTTTTATTTAAGCCATAGTAGCTATGTTTCATGACGTACAACATTAACATTAACTTATTAAATACTAAATACCCTGAAACTCATTCAGGCTAGGCTGAAATTGATCCAGCTGTTTTAAAGGAGATTTTTTTTAATGTTACCAAACATTATGAACAAATTGTGAAAAAAAATGTCTTAAAAGGGTAATACATGTATCTCCTTAAGGGGTCAATTGACAAAAAAAACAGATCAAATAGGGAAAAAAAATTCTGAACCATAAAAATGAGGTCAAGGTCAGACAATTACTGCTAAACAAACATGTAGACCTTCAAAACCATTCCATTAACCGGATATAATATGATATAATGACTTCTTCGTATCTCAAAACTAGACTAAACCACAAAATATTAACTTCTATCAGTTAAACATGAAAATGAGGTCATGGTCAACACTATAGTAGAACATGCAGTACACCTTACAATAATTCCATATACTGTACTAAATATATGGACTTGGCCAATGCAAACTAACTAGTTCACTGATCCATGAAATGAGGTAATGTGAAAACTGTCTTTACAGGCACAAGGATTTTCCAAGAAACCATTAAGTTACTGCTTTGAGTGCTACTAGTGCTGTTCACCTCCCTATCAAGTCTTGCAGGTTCCTGAAAGAACAGATTTAAAATATTGTTATGTACAATATGAATGACCCTTCTGCTATAAAAGGAGTATGGTCGCGAAGGCCTTAACTTAGCTCATAAAACAAAAATAACTTTGTAATTTCATATGTAACAACAATTATAATTCACAATCTGAAATATGCAAATCAAGATATTATTAACCTTTTTCTGTCTCAAGGTTGCTAATAGGCTCTGAACAGCCTCTGAAGCTCACCTAAATCTACTATGGTTGGAATTATGCATATCAAGCCAAAAAGTGCATTTTACACATGCAGGGCTACATTCTGTTTTTAGCCATGGTGGCCAATGTTTTTTAAGTAACAGTTAAATCACAAACTTTATACTAGATACCCTAGGGATCATGCAGCTGAAGATTGGTTGAGATTGGTTCTGTAGTTTCAGAGAAGATCTTTAAAATGGTTTACACCAAATGGAGGGACAAATGACGATTTTTTTGTATGGCTTTAGGGACAATGTGAGAGACCTTAATGACAAAAGAACTATAAAACTGTACAATAATCTTACTTTCAAGACATTATTATCATGAATACAAGATGCAACAAATTGTGTGAACTTAAAAGAAAAAGAAAACTGGATATTCAACTCATCCAAGTCCTCATTTACCAGAGATAAAAAAACAAATTAACAGAAATTTAATACTTACTAGTTTCCTTTTTTTAACTTTTTCACGTAATTTATCAATCATCGCAATCATCTTTTCCTCTGAAAAAAATTAACAAATAAAAGGCTTTCACAGACATCAAACAGATTTTTTTACAATTATTTTTATAATGCAAGTTTTTCTACATTTCAAGGATCATTAAACTCCTCAAACATGTCAAACAAATACAAAAGTGGAAAATTGTTAAAATTTAATTTGTCCTCAGTTTGTCACATTAGTTACAACAGATCAATATTTAAAAAGCTTTGGTTGAACTGTTTGTGAGTATGATTAAGAAATAATTCATGCAAGCCATAGATTTGTTGTATAATTTACACATGGCCTGGCCGGCCAGGCCGTGTGTAAATAGGACAAAAATGTATCTTAAATACTGAAGCGACGAAAAAGTGGCTGTTATATTTGAAGTATCACCCCATTGTCAAATAAAAGTGTGTTATTCTGACTGTATTTGTATCAAAGAGATACATTTTCAGCAGGCAAAGAAGGCAAATCAGTTATTTAATAGCAACAGAAGCAATGATTATTATTAACTGTTTGTATTATTTTTTTAATGTAAAAATGAATGTTCTCAGAAACTTACCGTTGGCAACTAATCCTGTCTCAGTCAATTTTGTCCCTTACGTCGATGAAATTTCTAATTTCCAGTCAAATACTTAAGCAATGCCATTGTATATATATATATATGTAATCTGGCAAGGGTTAGGTTTTTGGTAAGAATAAATCAGTCATTTAACCATTTCTTTTCGTAGCAATGACGTCTGCAATTTTGTTTTGAAAACAATGGAAATAGAACAATGATAAAATTTTAAAAATCCCAGAGAGGACATGATTTTTTCCGATAATTTTCATTACACATAGGATAAAATATATATCTATATGTCATTGAAACTGAAATTTTTAAAAGATATTGATATTTAATAGTGGATGAACTATAAATATTGGAACTTTTGATGATAAAAGAACCTTAACAAAATATGTTACATTAAGTTTGGATTTTTATGGGAGTAAAATGTAACAGCCGAAAATATGCATGTTACTGAGTCTGCGCTAAATATAGATATATTGAGAATTTTATCATGGCTATTTTCACAAAGGGTAATAGAGAGGTCATATTAGAATAATGATTAACTTATGGCATATAATTTGGACAGGACTTGAAATGCTATTTTTTTCATTAACTATAGCTGATCATAGCTTCTGAACATGAAGGGTGAAAATGAAAATCAACAATATATCTATAAAACTTGACCTTCATTTTGTCATTATATAATTAACAACATATCAGATTTAAAAAGTTTTGGTTGAATGGTTCAATGAGTTATTGTTGACACGACTGGAAATGCCATTTTTAAATCTTTCAAAATTTCCTGAACAGTGAAAATGAAAATCATGTATTTTCAACTTTACCTCTGCCACCATTTCATCAAAAGTAACAAAATGTTATAACCTGAAAACCTTTGGTTGAATGGTTCAAATCATACAGACACTAAATTGGTAACTATATAATCTACCTGAGTTGCCATACATCAACAAATTAATAACATGTTCATCATTTATTATCTTTAAATCATATGGCTACTGGAGGTAGTTAATTTGGGAAAACAAACAATATTTTAATTCTGGCCTTTTAAATTGTTTTTTAAAGAAGAACAAGTGTGGACACAGAACAGCAAACCCCAAGGGTGACTGGGGTATAGAAGTATGGTCACAATTGGTCTTCCTCCGACCGGCAGTAAAACCCGTGCTAAAGTGGGGCGTCCGTTTGGCTGTGCGGGATGTACAAATCTGCAGCCACGTCCGGTCAGAATGGGGACGTTAAATCCAATGCCTCGTGTAAAGAGAGTGCCACGCTCTTTGCACGTTAAGAACCCTTGCAACAACTCTTTGAGGGGTCCGTAGGTGACCTGTTGCAAGGCTAAATTTCTGTTCCTATCCAATATACCCTCATTTCCCGTGGCAGTCTAAATTTCTCCGACCTTAGTCCCTTAATCTGTTACAGATCCTACCTATTGTATTTATTGTGAACTTGTTCTCGTCCTGAATATGCATGAAATATTTGCCACTGGACGTTAAGCAACCAACAATCAATCAATCAATCACAGAACAGCATGGATAGTATCCAGCATTCTGAGAGTATTGCATGGCAATACACAGTCCCCTACCAGTTAAAATTTGTTGTCCGGAAAACAAAATTCAAACTTGATGTGTAAAATGTCATGTTAAAACTATAGATACCAAATTTCAAATCAATATGACAATAGTCAAGCATGACTAAAAAAAATGCAAAATTTTAATTGATTAATCGTGTTATTTTTCTAGGTCTAAGGATCATATAACTCTGCCAACTATCATCAGATCAGAAAAAAAAATTAAACTTGATCTTTAACTTGTAACGTTAAAACTATAAACCAAATATCAAATGGAAATCTTTAAGTATGACAAAAAAATAGTGGAAATGTATTTCTTGCATGAATTTTCTAAGTCCAAGGACCATAACTCTGCAAAAAATCATCAGACCGGAACACAATTTGCAACAGATCTTTAACTTGTCATGGTTTAACTACAAGCCAAATTTCAAGTCAATATCTTGAAGCATTAAAAAACAAAATATGGAAAACAGATTACTTATGTGAGTTTTCTAAGTCCAAGGGCCATAACTCTGCAAAAAATCATCTGACCGAAACAAAATTAGAACTTGATATGTAACTTGTCATGGTTATACTATATATCAAATATCAAACCAATTTCTTCAAGCATAACAAAAAATAAAAAGTGTGGAAAGCTGATTACGGACAGACGGACAGAGTGCAAACCTAAAGTCCCCTTCAACTTCGTTGGTAGGGGACTAATAACCTTTTATTTGAGCATGTCTACTAGTTAATTGTACTAACCTTCTGATTTTAAAGTTACTCTTTCATGTCTATTGAATTTATTGTCTACAATAAAAAAAATAACAAATGAATAGTCTAATTTCATTTATAAAGCACCTAACTGACACCAATGTTGTCCCTTCTTGCATATAAAGATTAAAGGGGCATTTTATGATGATAGAAAATAAAGGGATTCATGGGACAAAGTTGGACTTAAGTTGCACAAAATACATGTGACAAAAAGTCAGAAACTCAGGCTATTAGTAGTTATAACTAATAATGAAGAATGGCAAAATTTTATAACAATTGGTAAAGGTTCAATTGATAAATATCAAAACATGAAGTTCCTTACTTTTCCCCCTTATATTTTGGATGTGTAAGGCAATTGACAAATTTTTAAAGGTTCTCTGTATATATAACTGATCTAACTGGGAAATCATGCTGTTCAAGCATGGGTTCCTGCATGGTTAGCTGGAATGAGCCAGGGTACCAGATGGACTGCTTCTGTTTACATACAAAAGACAATGTTAAAAATGTATGAAGATGATAGGTTATTTTAGTTCCGGTTAGTCTCTTTTCACAAGCTACTATATCAATTAGCGATGACTTTTTTGACTGGTATATATTAATGCCTGATGAGAAATATTAAGAAGTTTAGACTAAAATTGTTTGCTTAGCAAGAAGTTTTTTTTTATTAAAACACGAAAAACTGTTTTCAACATTGTTTTGTGTCATGCTGAAATAATAAATTTTAAATGATTAACCTTTATGCAAACCAGACTGAGCATCTTTATAGAGTACAAAGACCCCCCTTGGGCCTGAGTAAAAAATACAAATTATCAATACACAGGGCTTTAATTAGTCTTATATAGGAATCACTGAAGCATGACTGGAGTGGGTCCCCTCTTATGGCAGTTTCTGGCTATATATGGAACCAATTTTTTTTTTAATATGAGCCAATGAGTACATGCATGCATGACGTAGTCTTACCTTGTGGTTCCCAGGTCTCCCCTGTTTTAAGTAGCATGAGGATGACATTTCCTTCTAAACTGTTGAAAAAATCATTATCTATTTCGACTCCATCTGCGTCCAGGACTAGACTGAATGTCGTTGAATCTCCTTCCATAAACTTTTCCTGGCCTAAATAAAAGGAAATTGAACAAAAATATTATTCTTTTCAAATCAGAATGAATAATCATATATTGCTTGCCAATAACCTGACCTAGTATCCACCATATATCGATCTTCCCTGATTCATTGAAATTCTGACTAACTGATGAACCATAGGAAATGGGGTGAAAGCGCTAACAGGAACAATGTTGGATTTATAATGTGATTTTTTATGTGTTATTTATTTTCAAACTATATTTTCTGTACCAAGGACTTTTTATTTATCAATATATCATACTATATATATGTTAGCGGCAATAAGTGAAATTAGGCATGATAGTTAAGCTTAAATCCTAGGCAAAAAGTTAATGCCTAAGCACTAAAGATTTTTTTAAAGTTAATCTATATACAATTATAGCTGTTGTATGAGGTCGATACACTTAGGATATATTGACCTGAAAGAAGTATATTGACTGAAGACGAAGTCCAAGATCAAATAATCCTGTATTGACTGAATACAAGGCATTACATTTTTTTGTAATTGTTATAAATTAATAACCAGCCATATTTGTATCAAAATCATCAGTGCACTATATTCCCTTTTTCGATTGTTTTTTTTTTTTCATTTTACAGATAGCATATTGTCTCTCATCATATTTGTTCTGATTTCAAATTTTATGTTTTTCAGTACATTTTGTATACATTTTTAATTTTTTTTTTAAAGTTAATCGATCATATATTATATACACCCTTTTCAAACGAATAAGAGCAACTAAAATGTCAGTTACCTGAAATATCAAAATCATTACAAAAATAATTCATTTATATAAGAACTCATTGAACAAAGTGGACACAGATGAGTGTAAATAGTATTAAAGCATAAAACTGTGAGTCAACTCACTAAGGATACCCCCCATCTCATTATGGCATATTTACTACACTACTGTTATTGCTTCGGCCGAAGGGTCGAAGATTTAATTTCGGGCGATATCCACGCCATCTTGAAATTATAATGTATCACACATGCATTCTGATTGGTTGCCTTATGATGGGGTCGAGATACAGCAACAGCCATTGGCTAGATTTAGAAAAATAATTGTGGACTTTCCCGTGCGATGAGAAGCATCAAATGCCGGAAAAAATAATATGTGTATTTATAGTCCCGATCAACAGTTGGTAATTCGTGTTCGCATTTAAATGATTATGATGCATATATATTAATTGCTAAAATTCAATATTGAAATAAATATTGTTAATACACGACCCTTTGCTTTGTAAATCAGCAATATACACGATTTATTTCAAGATTCAATGTTTACAAAACGCACCACTTGTATTTGTATCTGTATGAGATATAAATAGAATAAACATATATATATGGAACGCAAATATATCAAGATTTTTTATGGAACGCCTAATAAGCGTATAGGTATTACTTTTACCTGATAAATTCGAATTTTGCGAATACAGATGTCATTAGTCCAAATGAATATGGGTGAGATATAAATAGAAGTGTTATATATACTGATACGTTTTCTCGGGTCTGATAAATATTGAATGAATTTCATATGCAACCTTTATGTAATTGTTTTATTCGTGTTTAACCCATATCAATTTAGACTCGTATTTTTTTTAAATTTAAATTTGTTCGGGTGCTCTGTCATATTGATAAAGATAATCTTAAAAGTATTCCCCCTAAAAGATAACAATTATAGATTATACGCATTAAATGACTCTGAAATGAAATTTATAAATAATTAAAATATTCTCTGTAATAATATATAAACATAAAAACACACTAGAACATGTAATTTATGATACTACGAAGCATTCACTACCTTTTTAGAAAGGTAAAACTTGTTACATTTAAGCTTGATACAGCTCTGAATTTGGATTGTGATTAAATATTTAACACAGCATAGGTTTCTGACACAGAATGAATGAACTACTATTAATTATTTTAAATAAAAGGAATGCACATACATTTACATATTGCTATATTAAACTGGAAGAACATTTAAAATTAATAGTAGAGTTATCTCTCTTTGCATATTTTAAGTCAGTGTGTAAAAAAAAAAAAATACATCTATATTAAGTAAGTTAATTATCTCCCTTTAAATATTTAAAACCAACAATATCTTCATTTATGCACATTCTCTGGTCTGAGTGATGTACTGGAACTATGTAAAATATAATAAATATTGCTACAGTCATTTAGGAGGAGTTGTGCTTACAAGACCTAATGCCACATTTGTGATATTTATTAAACTAAGTAATTTCAATTATCTCCCTTGAAAAAAAATCTTACCAGAAATATCCTCCTTCATGTACATGTATCTACAGGTTGTGTACAACAACAGTGTAAAGTTTCATCAATATTAATTAATCTGTTTAGGAGAAGTTGCCCTTACTTACAATACTTGCCATTTATTGCTATATTTAACTAAGTAAATTTTAATATTCTTATATTCTCCTTCAAATATTTTCCTTCATGCACATCCTCAGGTTGTGTACTACAACTGTGTGAAGTTTTACCAATATTGGTCCATCAATTAATGAGGAGTTGCGTTTACCAGACATATGGACAGACAGTTGGACGGAAAGACGGACAGGGTGATTCCTATATACCCCCCCCCCCCCCCAAAAAAAAACAACTTTGTTTTGAAATTGTGTTAAGATCATATTTGTTCCCAGATAGAGTGGAGCTACATGTATGGCACAGATTATTGCAGTTTCCGTTTTTTCTTGCATTTTCAGCTGTTATTTTAGCAGGATTTACATACATATCAAAAATATGTGTGACCACCAGTTAATGTAAATGCTCAGGTGTGTTCCAGGAATGCCTGCATTTGATAAATAATCTATTCCTGGAATGCATACAAAATTTATTGAATAGATATTGTTCATGTTGTTTTGATGGTGAATTAGAGTGTTAATTTAGGAACACAGGGACAATCAGAAAGATTAGAAGATATAGAAATAAGGGCAAAAATAATTTTGTATTTAAAATTTTGCTGAGAAAAAAATATTTGAAACGGTATGGAACATTATTATAAAAAAATTAAAATCTTAATGAAAAAACAGTACTAACTAAAAATCTTAAACTTGTATATATATACTGGTAAAAATATTTTTGTGCCTAAAAATATTAAGTAAAAATTTAACTGAAATGAAATAGAATATAACAATAAGAAATACTTTAGAATCTATTAAAAGTAATGAATAAAATATGTTTTGATCTATTACTTCTTTTATAAAATAAATAAATAAAATAATTGACCAAAAAATGAAACAATAAAAATAAATACGCATTTAATAATCAACTTTTATAATCAACGGCTGAATCCTGAAAATGCAAGATAATTCTGTTTTGAATACGGAAAATACCAACATCTGTTAAAATTAATTCATATCAATATTTGGAATCTAATTTTTAAATTATTGAACATCATGATTTTTTCGGACATGTAATATGTATTTGTAACAAGCTAGACCTATCAATGTCTGGACCTGCGTCGTGCTGCAACAGTTATTTATAGTTGCTCAGGAAAATGCGACGAAATAAATGTTACAGGTAGATATATGGAACTATGGAAAATTATTCCCATAAAAGTTAAAGAATCAAAATTTCCTGAAAATATGCAAGGCAACATATGGTGTTCTTGCTACATACCACGTTTTTTGAAATTCTGTTGGGTAGTTTAAGAGGAGTTGTGATGACAAGCATGAGTGATACATGATGATTTACAGTTAATTTCGAAGTTCAAAGGGGCAAACCTCCAATAGAAAATAAGGAATCAAAATTTCCTGACAACATGCACAACTACATATAATGTTTTTGCTACATACCAAGTTTCAGGAATTTCTGTTGAGTAGTTTAAGAGGAGTTGTGATGACAAGCTGATGCATGATGATTTTCAGTAAATTTCTATTTTAGTTCAAAGGGGCAAACCTTCAATAAAAATTTCCTGATAATATGCACAACTACATATGATTTTCTTACTGCACACCAAGTTTCAGGAATTTCTGTTGAGTAGTTTCAGAGGAGTTGTGATGACAGTTAAGCTGATACATGATGATTTTCAGAAAATTTCTATGTTCAAAGAGGACTTAATGTTGAGTAAGTTCAGAGGAGTTGCCATGACAAGCTGATATCTTATTGTGTTACGGAATGACAGACAGACGGACGGAGAGACCCGATTCCTAGAACTGCTTCAGCCTTTGGGGATGCAGTTGATAAACAAGAGGCTCTCAAGAGCCTGAATCGCTCACGTGGTAAACAATGCCCTATAAACTAAATTAATATAATAATGTTTGTTGTAAATTGAGCTAAAAACATATTAATAAGTTTAATCATGGTTATACAACATTCTCATCATCAGCATTCAACTAAGGATATCATGTTTACTTTAAAAACCAAATATTGTTGAAATCCGAGCAAGTGTAAAAATTGGCCCGAAAATGGCAGCCATTTCAAAAATGGCCACCCAGAACAAATTTTCGTCATCACCATCCAACTTAGGATATCATGTTTACTGTATAAACCAAATATCATTGAAATCCCAGCAAGTGTAAAATTGGCGGAAAATGGCAGCCATTTTTAACATTTTAAAAATGGCTGCCCAAAACAAATTTTCACCATCACCATTCAACTCAGGATACCATGTTTACCTAAAAAGTAGCTTTCATCTTCATTTTCTTCTATAATTTCCCCCCGGTGGATCGCTATCCTTGCCGTGGTCGGGGGGCTTGCGTGTCTCAGTGACCCCAAGAGCTATGCCAGTTGGAGCTTCGTCTCCTGGTAGGGTTACCCATGCTGGACAGGTCGAAGGGTAGAAACCAGACTAAAGTGATCCGAACATCGTACGAGTTGCCCGATGTTTTGAATAAAATAGGCTCTCCAACCCGTTGGCCGTGGGTTGCTACCCGTGTCGGTGGTTGACGAGATCCTTGCGGATGAGGGCTGTAGCCAGACTCCTTACGGTCAGAAAATACCCGGACGGACAAGACTATAGTTCAATAAGCTGCTTTGGCTCCAATATCATCTAAACGGGAGGTCGGATGGACCCGGTTCGATCAATCGGCTGGTCATGTCGAGCCCTTCAGTTAATCCTCAACAATAAGCTTTCTTGTAACAATTTTCATGATATACACATGTGTTTTAAATAAAGCTATTTATATTTCGGATAACTGAAGAAGGCGATGGCTCATGGGTCAATCAAGTGGTACGCTTTCTATTTCGCTTGATGGATACGCTCTGCTTGAGTATACCATTCTTGGAACATCTGGTGCTTTCCGCAGTGGATCTTGGGTGCTAATTTTGGGGACCAGCTACGTTATACATGTTATACTTGGAGCTCGTTTTCAGCATTAGCACTTGACCCCGGCTCGCCACGGAAACACAGCATCGCCCTTGCAGGCACTCCGAGGTGGGTGGATGACAAGAATGGTGAATCTTTCTCATTTCCTATGGCACAACAAAACCAACCCTCTAAATCAGCTTTAATACATAAAAAAAGAAAATGTGATGATTCAGTGCCCTGTCAGGAAGATGACAGTTGGCCCAGATTTATTGTAATAAAAGGAACAGATGAAAAACCAATTTCCAAAATATCTCCCTTTGTGATTCACAAACAAATTCAAAGCGTTGCTGGTACTGTCAAAAAAGTTTCAAAAATGAGATCAGGCAATTTGTTGGTTGAATGTTCCAACAAAAGTCAATCAACAAGTTTGCTTACACTGACAACAATTACAAACTTTCCTGTTTCTGCCTCTCCTCACAACAGTTTGAACAGCTGTAAGGGGATCATTCGAGACAGAAGTCAATACCTTGGTGACCTTACCGTGGAAGAAATCTGTGAGGAACTTTCAAGCCAAGGTGTAACTGATGTTGTTAGATTTCAAATAAAAAAGAATGGAAATATAATCAAATTAAATACATATCTTTTGACATTTAGAACTCCAACTCCTCCTCCATCTATTACTTTAGGTTGCTTCGGAATCAGAGTTGACAGGTTTATCCCTAACCCAATTCGATGCTTCACTTGTCAAAAGTTTGGTCATGGAAGCAAACAATGTCGTGGTACGCAGAGATGCTTCAAGTGTTCTGACGAAGGACACGAGGGAACAACCTGTAGCTCTGAATCTTCTAAATGCGTAAACTGTGGTGAATCCCATTTTTCATCATCTAGGGACTGCCCTGTTTACCTTAAGGAAAAAAATATTATCAAAATTAAAACAGAAAGAAACATCAGTTACCCAGAAGCTAAACAGATAGCTTCTGTTTCGAATGATCTCCTTGTTTCGAACAGGCCATCGTACGCCAGCAAAGTTGTCCGCTCATTCAGTCACGAGAATACACAAACTCGCATGACCTGGCCAATTGATTCTGAGACATTTACAATGCTGCCTGTTGAAACAGAACCTAACGATAAAATATTAATTCCAAGAAAACCAACACCTTCTAAAACCAGTACTCAGTCAACTCAATCTTCCTTACAGAGCTCAATGTCATCATCTAAAAAAAATGAAAAAAAGAAATCAAATAAAAAAGATACAGTTAAATCAGACAGTTGGGGCGGTGAATCTGTCTGGGATCTTCCCAGTGACATAGATGATTCTTCCATCTCCAATAGTCCTCCTTCATCTGCATCTAATAAAACTAGTACAAAGTCTTCTAAAGCCCCGTCTCCTCTTCGTTCTCCAGAACAGAAGGATGTCCCAAAGAAGCCAGCAAATACATCCTCTCAGAAGTCTTCTGATTCGAGGTCGCGGGGTAGGGGTCGAGGCGGAGTAAAACCAGCTGCGCATGGTCCTGGAGATCGACGACTCTCCTCACACAACAGATTTTCAACACTCAACGACGAATCAGAAATGGAAATCGAAAGTGTTCCGCCACCCGAAAGATTACAATCTCAGGGTGAGCGAAATAAGAATGCTGGCAAACTCGATAGCATTCGCCCGTCTATTAACAAAACATGACTAATATCATCCAATGGAATTGCCGAGGTCTTAAAATAAATCTTCTCGAGTTAACGCTTCTAGTTCAGTCTTTTTTACCTACTGCATTTTGTCTTCAAGAAACTCATTTAAAAGAAAGTGACAATGTATCTTTAAAAGGATACAACATGTATAGCACATTTTCTAAGGTAGATGAACGTGCTGCAGGCGGATCATCCATTTTTGTGAAGGACAACGTCATTCATAGCACAGTCCAACTCACCACGGATCTGCAGGCAGTTGCAATTCCTTTATCATTAGATAAAACAATTACATTATGTTCTATATATATTCCACCCAATTCAATTATCGATAAAGCTAAACTCAAAAACCTCACTGATCAATTGCTGACAGAACTATTCCTAAGACCTCAACAATCAATCAATCAATCAATTTAATAATGTTCCATTTACAAATATTGTTTCATTCTTAAAAGAAGTTGGAATATATTCTAAAATATAAAAATGTTATTATATTTAAAACGATTTTAAATTTTATCACGTTATCTTAATGTTCATTTTTATTTGTAAATAATCAATTTGCTTTAATCTAGAATTTTAGTTTATTGAAGGGTCTTTTGTCTGATTATAAGAATATGCTTTAAATTGTAAAAAATATTCGAATTAGCTCTCGCCGCGATATAGCCTTGTTGTGCTAATGCGGCGTAAAGCAACCAACAATCAATCAATCAATCTTCTATAATTCAGGAAAAAATAGCAAAAACAGCATTTTGACCCCTATGTTCTATTTTTAGTAACGGCGGACATGTTTTTCAACCAATCAAAAATCCAAGCACAAACTTTTTGCAGGATACCCTAAGGTACAATCTCACCAAGTTTCATTTGATTTTGAATAGTCGTTTCAGAGAAGAAGATTTTTGAAATAATAACATAAAAAAAGCCAAAAATGTCAAATTTGGGCATTAACTCAAACATCAGTTGACAGATTTTCACAAAAATCTGCACACAGGTAGCTCTTATCATGCTTAACACTTTCAACCTGCCAGAATTTGGCTAAACCTAATGATTTTTGACATATTTGTGAAAAACTGTTGTTTGACCCCTATGTTCCATTTTTAGTAACGGCGGCCATGTTTTTTGACGGATCGAAAATCGAAGCAGTCATTTTGTGCAGGATACCCTAAGGAACAATCATGCTAAGTTTCATTCAAATCCATTCAGTAGTTTCAGAGGAGAAGATGTTTGAAAAATTGTTAACGACGACGACAGACGACAGACGACGACGACAACGACGACGACGGACGCCAAGTGATGAGAAAAGCTCACATTTCCTTTTAGGAAAGGTGAGCTAAAAATTAAAATCTCAAGTTCCCTTATTACCTGAAATGATGTTTAGCAATAGGTTAAAACACTCCATCATATTTCAGGCATTAAGCTTACTGCCTGGATATTCAGGCAATAACTAAATATCTAGGCGTTAGCCTATTGCATAGGATTTGAGCTTAACGCCTAATTTCACTTTAATGGCCACTATATACAAATTAACAGTCCTCTGACCTAGAACTAGGGTCAGAAACAAAGGGTCACATGCATGCAAATCAACTAGTTGTGATACATATAGATTATAACATGGCATTTTTCATATCAGACCCCTTATCAATCCAAGGTCATGATATCAGCCCGAGAGCCTTCAGGCTCGAGGGATGATTTTGACCATGGGCTGATAAGGGGTCTGATATAAAAAATGACATGTTATGATCTTTTTATCATATACTTCAATATTGTTGTTTCGAATGTCCTAGTTAAATGTTTGATAATATGAAATTCTGTTAATGTTAATTTTTTGGTGGGAAAATGAAAAAAAAATGAACAAAATTTTGAAAGAAAAACAAATTTTGAAGAAAAAGTATATTTGAAAAAAAAAAAATGAAAAAAAAATTGAAAAAACGAATTTTGAACAAAATTTTGAAAGAAAATCAAATTTTGAAGAAAAAAGAATATTTGAAAAAAAATCAAGAGAAAAAAATTGAAAATGTTCTTTTTTGTTAAAAAAACAAAAATGGAAAAAAAATGGATTTAGCGTGTGATATAAACCGGAAACAGTTGATATAAACCAGAAGCAGTTGATAACAAAAGTCATATCACACGGCAAAGACAATTCTTAAGATTTTATTGATAAATATCTATGCAAACAGTGTTATCAAGGGGTAAAATTATACCGTTATTTTCTATAAGTATATGATAAATGTATTTATTTATTTTAAATTTTGTGAAAACTCTGGAGTGTGATTCATTAGAGATTGCAAATCATTGGATGTAAATCATGTAATATTAAACTGGTAAAACATTGCTTTGAAACATCAATTTACTTTGACCATGTTTTCCAAGATTTAAGTTCCACAAGTAAGTGAGACACAGTACTATGACAAGGTATATATATATATATTATATATGATTTCTAATGTCTGATAATCATACTTACATTTATTTATTAAATCAGGAAACGAATATGCCACAATTCCTTTTCTTATTATTCTGTTATTATCGAAAACCTTTACAGGTAATGACTGTTTACTCTATAATAGATAATTAAATCATGATAAAGATGATTATTAAGAACAAGGGCTATTCCAGAAATTAATATATGGGGTGGTCAGAAGGCACTTTTATTTGACCCACCATACATATATTTTTATTGGATATTTCTTTTAATTGTTCAGGCAATCTTTCTACAAGAACCACCACCTACCAAATTTTAATAGAGTGCCTTCCTTTCCCCCATACAATAACCCTGGAAAAGTCCTTAGGAGAAATGGCTCACCTGTAATTTTGCGCAGATATCTCATTGATAATAATGATTATATAATTTATGATGTTTAAAGTGTTAAAAACTGAGAAAAGGGTCTTTTAAAGGCAGTAACCCCTTAAGGGTTGAATTTAACCATAATAGTATGAAAGATAATAACCAAAACTTTGAAACAATCAGCATATAATTTCATTAAAATCTTAGGGCTGCAATTAAAAGAATCGTTTGTTTCCCCACACCTGACCCAAGATTTCTGTTGGTGGATCGGTGAGGTCAGCTAAGTAATATTCCCCAATCAGGAGCCATAATCGCCCAAACTTGAGTCAATCTCCCAAACTTGAGACAATCTCCCGAACAGGAGATATTCATTTGAACAGGAAGTAGCACATATATGAAATTGTCTCCCGATCTGGAGACTGAAAATAAACAAGAATGTGTCCATACTACACTGATGCACCACTCATACTATCATTTTCTATGTTCAATGAACCAGGAAATTGGGATAAAAACTCTACATTAGAAAGATCATATCATGAGAAACAATGTGCAACTTCATCAAAAACTACTTTTGACTTTGACTTTAACCGGACACAGGACAGACAGACGGACAAATAAACGAATGTCCATGCTCCTTTTACTATTGTAGGTGGGGTATTAAAATAGCATAAAATGGCTTGTGAGCATTGAATTAATTTATATATTGCAAAAGGGGAAGAAAGTAATATGTTTCCTTCTTGTAAATCATAAAATAAAGGAATTATTTTTATATTTTCAAAAAAAATAAAATGTGAAATAATTTGTTACAATGCATTTTAATGTCATAAAAATGGGTCAAAGCCTCAAACAGCCGGGTTGTTTTAGTGATGTTTGAATTAGAATCTGAATTGAAAACTGTATGAGGAGATATTAAATTACAAAAAACAATAAACAGCTGCCTTTAGAGCGCATGATACTCCCGTATTGGGCATATAGAAATTGGAAAAGAAGGCATGAATAATTTTCTTAAATTCAAATAGTTAAAGTCCTCTAACTCCAGAACAAGTTAACAAATAAATAATCAAAAATCAATAGGGAGCTTCATAATATAAATCCCAACAATAATTTGAAGTTTCAAGGAAATCAATTTAGGAATACTAGAGTAAAATTAATGTGCAAAATGTGAAAAATTGCCATAATTCAAATGGTTAAAGTCCTATATAATTACTCTGAAACAACATTGCCATTTTTTTCTAATTTGAAAGGGAGCTTCCTCCTATCAATCCTAATGTTGTATTATTGTTACGTGAGGAAAGGTTAAAAGGAATTTGAGCTATAGTCCGAAAACTTGAAAATCCCACCTTTTTTTTTAATAAAGTCCCATAAATCCCAAAAGCATAATATGAAATTAAAAAAAACGAAAGGGAGCTTACATTGATAGACATAAACAATTCACATAAGTTTCATGGACATTGGTGAAAGCCTTTTTGAGTTATTGTCCGAATTGTTGAAAATTCCCCCTTTTTTATGAATAAACAAATTATTTTACAAAACGTCAAATCTGAAATTAAAAAAAAACGAAAGGGAGCTTACGTCAATATATATAAACAATTCACTTAAGTTTCATGGAAATTGGTGAAAGCGTTTTTGAGTTATTGTCCGAAGTGTGGATGACGGACGGACAACCGTATACCATAATACGTCCCGTCTTAGACGGTCGTATAAAAATGTGTTCATTGTACACAAATGTTTTATAAAAACAATTCAATTTTTATCAACGCAATTCGGTGAATAAACCGTCTCAGCCTCATGATTATAGATGATGAATTGTATACTACATGGACTCACCAGAATCAGCTGGGACTCACCATTTTCAAAAGTGATGTCAGTCCCAGGACTCACCATAAAAATTTCCTAGTGAGAACCCTGAATGCCCCACTCACACTATAATTTTCTATGATCAGTGGACTGTGAAAATGGGGTCAAAACTCTCATTTGGCATTAAAATTAGAAAGATCATATCATAGGGAACATGTGTACTATTAGTTTCAAGTTGATTGGACTTCAAAAACTACCTTGACCAGAAATTTTAACCTATTTTCTGACCAAAAACTTTAACCTGTAATTTTCTATGTTCAATGGACCATGAAATTGGGGTCAAAACTCTAATTTGGCATAAAAATTAGAAATATCATATCATATCTTCTGTGGCAAGGAAGGAAAATGTTCAGCAAAATTCATAAAAGTTTTAAACATTTTAAATCACAAAATGAATGCAAGATATATAAATCTAGGTGCTGCCAGGCTTTAAAACTTTTTAGATTGTACAGTTTTCTCTGTATTCAGAGGTAATTTTATGATGTAAACACAGCAATTTTTGACAAAGTGTAAAGATGAACCTTAATATATTAATTTAGTTTATAGGGCATTGTTTACCAGGTGAGCAATTCAGGCTCTTGAGAGTCTCTTAATTGTTTATAATATATATATATCGTCAGAGGACCTGTTTTCGACCGTGCCCTATTTTCGACCAAATTTTATTTCATTCATTTGGATTGCACACCTGTATATAATGATGTGTATTTGAGTTTCTATAGTTAGAACAAAAACAACACTGCATGTTAATCTGATTTAGAAATGTTTAAAGTTGCTTTCAATGTCATAATTATAAATTTTATTTAAATGTAGCTGTTTCGGCCATGTTTTTTTAAGGCCATAAATTGCTTTACTTGTATTTTTGTTTACAAACAATCCGGAAGGGTTACATGAAATACTTTTGGTAATTCTGCTTCTCCAACATCTGATCTTCAGGCCACATGACTTTCTTGGGGTTCTTGGTTGTATTTATTACAAACAATCTTGATGAAATGCACAGGGTTCTTATATAAAATGAGTGTCTGAGAAGTATTTTTTTTCAAGAAATATCTGAAGTCTTTAATAACTTTTTTGTAAATGTTGCAAAAAACATCGGTGACAACAACATTCAGGTTAATGACAAACATCCAAGTATAGAAGCTATTTCTAACAAATACTCTACTGGGTCAACATCAAATAAACTAATTTTTCAGCCTGTAAATGAAGCATTTGTTTCTAAAAGAACTGGTAAAATTAATGTTAAAAAGGCTACTGGTATAGATGGTATTTCACCAAAACTTTTACATGCTGCTAAGCCTGTTGTGATTAAACCTATCACACAGCTTGTAAATTTATCAGTATCCACTTCTATTTTTCCAGACTCATTAAAAATTGCCCAAGTTGCACCCGTTCATAAGAAAAACAGTGTTCTTGAAAAGGGTAATTACAGACCCGTTAGCGTTTTACCTGCTATATCAAATATTTTTGAAACAGCCATAGAAAATCAACTCACTAAATACTTTGATGATATTTTTGACCATTTCCTTGCGGCTTTTCGATCAGGCTATGGCTGTCAGTCAACATTACTTAAAATTTTGGAAGATTGGAAAAAGGCACTGGATAATAATAATGATAAATTGCTTTACTTGTATTTTTGTTTACAAACAATCCGGAAGGGTTACATGAAATACTTTTGGTAATTCTGCTTCTCCAACATCTGATCTTCAGGCCACATGACTTTCTTGGGGTTCTTGGTTGTATTTATTACAAACAATCTTGATGAAATGCACAGGGTTCTTATATAAAATGAGTGTCTGAGAAGTATTTTTTTTCAATGACTTTTTGGGAAATATTTTTTTTTGCCAGCATTAAAGAAGATAAAAAACGGTGTGACCTACTTAAAAGTTTAAGCCCATTTTAAAACTAACTTTAAAATAAAAAAAATATGAACGTTGTAGAATCCCAGGGCAAAAATAAAATTTTACAATTTCTGCACCTGGAAAATTAACCAAAAGCTGCAAGATTACTTTTTTAGTACTGAAAACTATAAAATATTCATATGTTTTCTTTATTTATATAATCACCAGAATCACAATCTTTGAAAACATTTTCTTTTGTTTACAAGGGTCGCCCCATGTCCGTGTTTAGGGCCGAAGTTTACTTAGGTTGAAAATAGGGCCCATTTTAATCGACACAAAAGACAAATGAAAAACAAATATCGACTTATTCAAGTACACTTTCTAGGGTGCGCTCGACTTATCTGACCAAGCTCGCGTTTTTTTGGGAAGTATAAGTTGTTTAGGACTTTATGTAAACAATAAATGTCCACAAAACTTTTTCAAGTATTTTTTTTTCTTTTTTGATATTATTTCACTTAAAAAAATAGCAAGAAGGGGTTATACATGGGAGTTCATAGATTAGACTTAATTAATTTTTTAATTACTGCCATGTCTCCAGAATTAGGCGGGAAATCTTATCGTAACACCTCGGGGTCTACTATCCAGCATAGGTCGGTCTAATTACAGTATATCGGTACCGGTCGCCATTTTAAAGTTTATTTTTCTTCTTTTGCATCCAATTATAAAGAACTTTTTATATCTTGACCAGTAACTTTACAAATATAATATGGAGCAGGCGCTTAATTAGTATGTTTCACCTGAAGACCTCCCGCCGAAGTTTTTTAAGAAGGATATAATTAAAGCACTGACTCCCCTTACGTGAAATAACGTAAGGGGAGCAAGAATGCTAAACTTGTTAAACCGTACTTTAGAATGAGAATAAGAGCCGCATCGTTTTCCAGCATGGGGACATGTTTTGCGGCTATTTAAACTACGTAAGATTAGCCTGGAGACTACTATTACGTGAAAAAATAGTTTTTTGCTGTATGAAATAGGAAATGAGATTTTAAATTATTGTTATGTAATTATAAAAACAGTACAAATAATTATATACATGTATTTTAATAAAATAAAATGTGTAGATATGTCACTAATTGGCATAACACTAGCTGTCTACAGGTCTGATAGGCTTTTGGGGGTGGAATTCGCATTCCGGGGCATTTCAAATGGAACCATTCTAGGCATACATCACAGGCCATGCTGTCAAATGCATGCAAATCTTGTTTGCAAACAGAGCACTGAAATTATTTTTTTTTTGCAACCGTCATGCCAGAATTTTTTTATACGTATAATGTTCACATTTTCGTCCAAAACCATGCTAATTGCCATTTCTTTTATTGATTTCATGCTTTCTATTGGTATTTATAAGACTGAATGGTTCAAAATTATATGCAATGATTTAATACCAACTTGAAGCAGACAAGGATCGCCTTTTATCTCCAATGAAATAATAATGAATGGTCAAGTTCAAATATTCTTAGTGAACTCTAATCAATCTACAACTTTCGGACTAAGGCCAGTGGCAAGTGAATCATAACTCAGATTAGTGAGAGTTTTATTAATTTATTTTGCAAGTAATCTATTACAGTGGTTGTAGTAGAACATTTTAATCTATTCCTAAAAAAATGTCATAATAAAAATAAAATCGAATTTTCTTTATATAGCAAAACAATATTGTTCACGTAATAGTAGTCTCCAGGCTAATCTTACGTAGTTTAGATATCCGCAAAATATGTCCTCATACCGGAAAACGATGCGATTTCACGTAAGGGGA